AACTGACCACGTTCATATTCTGACAGAAGCTGGCTCCAGGGAATAGTAGTAAGTAATGATACAGAGTTGATCCAGTGCTTGTACAGAATTTTCTCACTCGTACTTGCTCTCCACTACCGAAGACTGCCATGGAACATGATTTCGTGCCACCTGGGCATGTAGCTTTCTAAAACTACATGGCATTTGAAATGATTTTTGTATCTGAACTGGAATAAAAATATAATTTGTAAAAAAATAATAAAAAATAAAAAAATTACACAAAATAAATAAATAAAATTGAGTCATAAAAAAATTATGCCTCTGAGTTTTTTCACATATGGGATGCGTGAATTTCGATAACTCTACCATTTACTACTTATGAATGGCTCTCAACTATCAGAAAAAGTGCTATTATTAAGGATGAGGAAGCACAGCAAGCAAACTCTTCTAAAGTGACGATGAAATTCAAAAAAGGGGTCATTTGCATGGCTTACACTGAGCTCTCTCTTCGGCTTAGATCGACTTAATCTTTTGTTTGAAAAACTTCTTATGCACGACAATTGCTTGCTTTTTATCGGATCAAGTCCTTGATTAGAATCTCCAAAGAGGGTCTTTTCACTTTAAACCTTACTTTCAGTGGCGAACCAGTCAGTCTCTTGGGAGTGCGCCTAGTAATTCGAAAGGAAACGTCTATTTCAAGATTCCCTTTGGGTTCTTGTAGGCTCCTCTTGACACTTCCTATCAATTCGGCAATTAATTATTCTGAAAGCCAGGTTAAAATGAAGAAAAAAACGGAAATTTCATATTCCGACGTCTCCAAAAACCGAAAAAAATTCTTCGAGAGAAGCAAAAAAAGCTTTATGAGTGGATCCCATACCAAAAGGTGATCGAAACCCATCTAGCCTACAAGTCGACTCAATTTTTTCTTCAAGGGCTTAAGTTTATTAAGTTTATTTATTAAGTTAGAACCCAGTATCGAGATCTTTTGAAAAACTGGAGGATTTTGGATTTTTGAAAACGTCACCTGTTCTACGCAATCACGTCCTTTCTTTGGATTACAGATATAGCACTCGAATGCGAAACCAAATGTCACAAGAGTAAACATCAAAATCCAGGAAAAATAGTCCGACATTTTTAGAGAACTCCCGAGTGACTTATCTGAAATATAATGTGGTCTGTCCTTCTGAAAAGATTTTCAAAGCTATGAATAAGAAGTAGTGCGCCTATAAACAACGATCGTAAAGGCTGTTAGGGTCAGCGGACAGAAAGAACAGTTTAGTAAAAAGTTCCGGCGGGTCATGATGTATTAGTTTATGGAACGCCATGCTGTCGTGGGAGTGGCTGTTAACTCGACCTGAGTGCCTAATAAGCGGTTCAGTCCGCCCCCACACAGAAATGACGTGGGAACTCAGGCGTCTATGCAAAGCATCAGGAATAGGTAGATGTAATGAAATTATGAAGAAGAAGAAGAATGAAACAAAAAAGAGACAAAATGACTCAAACAGGCGAAGGCTAAAAATCTTGAATATCATAAATAAAAAATTAGACTGAAGTTTCAAAAAAGAAACTGTTCTTGATCGCTTCAACATCAAGTTAAGTCTAAATTGCTTCCATTGTAACTTGTAAATGAGACATTTGACTTGTTTTCTGTTCCTGTCAGAATAGAGATAAGCAGATAGCCGATTGAAAACATCTATTACAATAGGAATAGAAAAAAAGGTAATCGCCCCAGATTTCTTCGGATGAGTACTCTTTTGTTGTCGGCAAAGGTGGTAATCGTACCAGATATCTTGATATAAAAAGAAGGATAAATTTTTTTCATCATCCAATCCCGTTTTTGGGTCCTCAATCCATCTACACTCGAATTCCATCCAGAAATGCAATTGTTCGAATGCTAATTATGTTTTCTATAGCATCACTTGAGATGGGCAGCAGAGTACTTTCATCCCCTCTGCGAGCTTCTACCGATTGAACGACCTCAGGAGGACGAAAGGTGGGCAGATACCGGTCTAGCAATAGATCTCAGGACCATATGCGCGTGATAGGGCGCTACTTGTCACTACACCACCCACCATTGCACCGCAAATAAAGAAGCCATCTCAAATTACCAAATTGTTATCAAAAAATATTCTGAAATAGGCTTGGTAGAGTGTTAAAAAATGAGAAGTTAATCATCGCAACTTCGAATTGAACATTTATTTCGAATGTGGCCTCATCCGATCAGGATGAGTTCGTAAAATCTGTAGCATCAGTAGCTAGATAGTATGACTACCTACCTGACTGGTTGCCGCGAAATTTTGTCAGCTCCCAACGTCTATGGAATGTGCTATTCACTATGTACAGAGTATAGTTACCTACTTCGGCTGGTTGCGCCTGAATGGTCGCCTTGACTCCTTGAAGACACCCAGAGGATGATACGGTCAAGGAAGCAGTACATGAGCTTTCGAATCCAGTTCTACACTATTCCCTATCTAGGGCCTACAGTCTTGAACTACAAATTCTTTCTCCAAACTCTTCTTTTTCTCACAAAATTCCTTAACTTCTTGGTTACTCCAAACTGGCTTTCATCTATCGCAACAGAGCGCTACTGGGACAGAACTGTCCTATCTGCACTGTCATCGAAACTGCTGTAAATTAAGGTAACTGTTCATTAGGTTCATACATCATTTAGTTGAGCGAACAAAAAAACTCAATGCCCTATTCTGAGGACATGTCATTGGTCTTAATTCGATAGCGACCTTCAATGATGAAAAATGTCGCCTCCGCTTCTACCCCGTACTATGAAAAACGATCAAGAAACAGTCAAAAACGTCAAAATCGGTCCTTATATCGCCCCATCATCCTTTCTCGAATTAGCTACCCAGCTGATGGGAAAGGGTTTCAATTGGCGGACTAAGTAGCATCCTCGGAGGATTATGGTCTCAAGGACGCCGCCTTACGATACATGACGTGGTTAGTTCCTTGTGCGGGTGCCATCATAGTTTCAGTTCATGTTCCCAGGGATTAAGCCGAAATGTTGCTCACTTATAATAACTTTGGCTGGAAATAGCAGATAGTTACGGTCTGAGGGGTTATGAATCCAGCCGGATCTCATAAACTACACAAAAGTTTACGTGGTTCGGAAATTGAGCCCTAGGCCATCTTCGAGATGGCTTCAGCTCTTCTAATAATTCATTGCACAGACCCATAATCCAATTGAAAGCATTAGGTGCAAACCAATACTTTCAAGCTGTGCCATGAATCTTGCGACAATTCAGAGCCGTGAAGCCGGTAGTTCGGTTGGATATTTCAAATGCTCCTATAATAATCGCCGGTGACGTAGAAGTGTCCGGAATCAGACTCATCCTACAGATTGGGAGACAAAGTCAGTACTAGTTCATATTTCTGACAAAAAACCGATTTGGAACCTGAGAAGGGGTTTAAACGCTAGAAAATTGGTCCCAAGTATCGCCAGAAGGCTTAGCCCAGCACCACTCAGAAAAAACGCTTGACCTGAACGAATTTACTAGTGCAGATAAAGAAGTGAGTAGGGCTTCGAGCCAAGACAGTGAGGGTACCGCATTCCATCTGAATATTACAACAAAACAAGGTAATGAAGCTCCGTCGGAAGGTGGACGCATATTGTCACCGTTTGACTGGATGTATGGGTACCCTGTTCAGGTGGAGACTGAGATGAGAAGACGACTATGATGGTTGTGGCTGGCCACCATAGTCGTCTTCTGATGGGACTGGGACAGTGGCTGGGACTAAAGCTGTACGGTGAAAGAAGGAACAAAAGACTGAGGGGGAGATCGAGTCAATACTTTTACATGCTTGTTTATCGCTCCTACTGTTGAGTATTCTAAGAAAAACTGAATATGGCTATTTTTACAGTACTAATCTGATAACATCGCTAACTAGACCGTATAACTATTTTTTCACAAGGCCATATGCGTGACTGCTCAGTGGGGTGTCAGGATCAAGGTAACCACCCACTCCAATGTCCGCGTGCGAAGAAAGCGAGACCAGTTTTACGGAGTTTCAGTTTCGATTAGGTTGCGTCTTAGTCCCTCTTAATCGAAATCGGTCGATCAGCATGGGTCTAGATCCCATAGTTTATGACTGAAGGCGCCATACATTCCATCCCTCTTCAAATTAGTTGAAGTATTCAAAACAAAAGGAAGCTGTAGTCGCCTAACTATGGCCTGGAAAAGCTGATTTTCTAAAAGAGTTGGTGATTTTAGGAATACCGATGACTGATCAGACCAAATCCTCCTATTCTGATTAAGTGAGGAGTTTAGAGCTGTCTGCAAGGGCTTTAGCTCTGACATCCTGAACTTTCACGCACTGACATCGGCCACAACGCTTACCGTGAGCTGCACTCCAAAAGATGCTAAGATAATGCACGAAGGCGGACAACACCCCTAGATGAGGTGGGTGGGAGTTTAGGTGCGAGTTGTGGCAAATACGGTCAACGTGGGTAAGTGGACTTTAGATTTGAAAGCCCTACAACATCGGAACAAATGGTATTGAGAGGACAATACATCTAAAATAAGACTTTGGGAGGAAATGGCTTCGAGTGAAGATGAACTCTTCATCCGTGCGACTCGTCCAGGCCGCGAAAGGCCGACGATACATGGTTCATAGGAGAGGCACCGGCTGATAGCCCTCGTTTCACTGGCGATGAAAGGAAAAAGAGAAAAGCCCAGAAGAGTTTTGGCCGCCAAATTTTACTTGTAACAGTGGTAGCAAGAGCGGCTACGGTGGCTTGGTGTCAAATTGGGTGGGTTTGATCCCCGCCAACAATACTTTTCCACTGTCCCGCTCTAAGTATTCCTGACCCCTAAAAAAACAGTTTTGGGGAAATTTCGATCTGATTTCTGGGTGTCCTGGATGGGTTCCAGGACACTCAGAAAGAGAAAAAGACTACAGCCTCAGCCTGGGGTTACCGGAAACACTTTGTCCTAACAGTGTTTCCGTCAGAGATTAAGAAAAATTTCTTGATAGTCCACAGTTTTACTGATGAAGGCAACCTCATTTTTAAGAATTTGGGTAAGTTTCTCATAAAATTCCAATTGGAGCAAGTCCAAGTGAGTGCGCCGGGTGGGTATAAGTAAAAGTTGCACGATCATTTTGATAACCGGCCATTTTCAAGATCAACCGGCGTAACTTCCGCAATAGAGCTTAAAGCGGAAGACCCTTGGAGCTCACTCAGAGATTGTTTGAGGAGTTTCAGTACCTGCATTACGAAAGAAGTAATTCGGGAAACAACAAAAACAAAACGGAGGCAGTTCAATCGACGTATTGTAAACACATGGAGGCCAGCCACTTGCGAGGCAAACAGGTCAAGTGAAGCCACCCACACATCAAATTCGGTCGGACGTGAATCGCTCCACCTTCGCAATCAACAAATTTGTGATTCAAGTGGCTACTTCTCGCTAAACGTGATGGGTGCGAAGAGGGCACTGTAAATCGGGGAACGAAGCCCAGGAACTCAGAAAACCTATGAAAGGGGTGTCAAGCTGAGTACGACCACCTAGTCAAATCAGTCAACAGGGTTGCTTTGGTTATTACGATTACCTCCAATGGGGTTCTTATAATACGATTCATTTTTATGCAGAATGATCCTCGTTGCCTGGCCTAAGCTTTGTTAGCAACGTAGGAGTGGGGGTTGGAGGAGGTATCTAGTGTCAAACGGCGCACTATCACACAGGCAGAGGCCAGGGATCGAAGCCTGATCGTTTCTTCCCCAAGCCAAACACGCTTTCCCCTCCTCCGGGATCTGTCAAATGATGTCAGATTCGTCTGGGTGGATCAAAGCCCTGACATGTACATTGGCTGCCCACTGTAAGGTGGCGCATAGGCCACATACGCCTTCAAACCGCCGCGACCATTCTGAACTAAAGTTTAATGCAAGTGTCCTTCCCAGGAAAGGAATTGTTCAACACCCAAAGACTTTGTCCTTTATTCTTTTTTTCAAGAAAAACGGTCTCTGGGACGTGGAGAGAGCTCAGTGCGGGGGTAGATCTGTGGTCGTCCATTTCATGCCAAGGTTTATACATGCAGAATTCCAGTGCCTGCGAATAGCTATTTATCAGAAATTGTCATTCTCTCGCTGTTGAACACCAGATTTGACCGTCGGGGTACTCAATC